TTCTTGTGGTTTGATTCGCATAAAGTTTCAGCAGCGGGGGGAGCGGAGCTGAGAACCAGTCCTTTGCGCGTGATGCACCCTGGCCCCTGGCGCATAGGTAGGGTTCAATTATTTTAAAACACACAAGGTAGCTCAGGTCATTTGAGCCATCGTCCACTTCCCTTTGAATAACATTGTGCTTACCAGAGATACAGCAAAGAGCCAGGATGGCCAGCACGAGCATCTTCGCTGCCTTCATGGTTGAGTTCAGCGTCCTGAAGTAAGGCAAACTCAGACTGTCGGGAGCCTGTGTGTGCGCGCGTGTGTGTGTGTATATATATGTGTGTGTGTGTGTGTGCGGGACACCCTCAATATCTGCAACGTGACTCTCACATGACATTAAACATAGCCCCAAGATTCAGGGCATTTGCCAGTGCAAACCCCGGGAGGCTGCCATCCGCTTTGTACCCTGATTCCCAAGGGAAGAGATGCTGCTTCTGCATGCATTGCATTCCTCCACTATCACTGGGCAAGTCCCACATGATTTTGCTGCGGATCAAAGGAGCCGTTGTGGGGAGCTTGCGTGTGCGTTGCAGGGAGGGGAACATGAAGTACATTTGGGAGGCAAGCGGCAAGGAATTCCCTAGCATTTCCAGCCTCTTCTTTTCCCCTGTGTACAAATCATTTTATATTTCTTTCCTCAAGTGCCTTGTCCTGGGACCCCATCAGCTCAGGTAGCTCACTTTTTTCTATGACTATTTTTTCACTTGGCAGCCTCATCTCCTCCATCTGACAGGTGGTCGTGCCCCTTTTGACCTGCTGGCGTTCAGAAACAACTCTTTTCTCCCAGGTTTTGTTGTTGTTGCCGGTCTTTCTATGGCATTTAATACTGTTCGGTCCAGGTTCGTGCGTTAGCAGGCGATGATCCCTTCCATTAAAGAATAGTTCAGTAGCCAGAAGCTGAGAGAGAACATATTTCGGGTTGAACAAAGCATTTCAAGTTGATCCAGGATAATGTGTTTTCAGTCTTGTCACTCAAAAAAGGGAAAAAAATCTGTTTTGACTTGAGTCAGATCAAGTGCATTTTTTTCCCTGATTACATAGTTTGACCACTAAATTGAAAAATCTTTTATTCATCCCGGTCCATCCCAACATCGCATCCCCTCTGGCACCAATAAAACCATCCCTCAGTGACTTGGCAAAAGCAGCATCAACAGCACAAGAAGAAAGCAACTCCTTGGTTTAGATGACTTTGAACAGGAGCCAAAGAAGTCAACCTGGTGGAGACCATTCAAGAAGGTTTACTGCCATCCCGTCTGTTGGAAAATCTTTTGTTTTTTTGCTTCAGCTAACACGCTGGAGTTGTGCATGGTACCATTTGAGGGTTGCAGTGTTCAATTTATTTTAGTGAAAAGCAGTAGTGATGTCGGAGGGAGGGGATGTGTGGGATGGAGGGGTCCCCCTGCTAGAGAAACCAGCCCAGACTTGTATTAGCCTGTGTCTCGGCGCAGAGTCCTCTCCTGGTGCTGACTGTGCCGGCCTCATGCCTGATTTCTGCCGGGCTGTCCAAAGTGCGGTTATTTGAATTTTCCATCGTACCGGTGGGAAACCAGCCCCGGGAACTTGACAGACAGCGCAGGGGCACAAACACTGCTTAATTGATGCAGTTTTTAAAAATACAAAGCTTGTTATAGCTGCCGAGAGGTGGGTGAAATCCTGCAGCATCTCCGCCATCACAGGATCTCTTGCCTTCCCCACGGCTGCATCCCCAGGGAACTTGGCAGCTGTTCTTCCTCCTCCATAATTTCTTTTAGTCAAGCACTATTGAGAAACCTGGGAGTCGTTTCAGTCGCCAGGCGGTTTCACCAAGCGCTGCGTGGATGTGAGCACAGGGATGGGGGACGTCAAGTCAGTTCTTCGACTTGACTGTTGTGACAGCTCCGCGTATTTGATATAGATTCATGCTGAAGAGCAGGCTTCAGAAACCAAATCTACGCAGTACACGTGAGACCAGCACCGTGCATGTGGCTTCAGGGAAACCTGATGGATTTAACCGGTGCAAGTGTGCAACGGCCCTGGGAGCTGGTGTCAGAGGGCGCCTTTGGATTCAAAGGTCGCCTGCCAGAGAAGCCAGAACGTGCCGGTGGTCACAGAAAAGGCCCTGCTCTCTTTAATGGCTCGCTGTTACCAACCCCAGATGCAGGGCCTGCCTACAACCGATTTCTCCTCCCGGGCTCTCGCGGGCCGCTTTGTGGTGCGCAGCTGGAGCAGGTCAGACGGTGTTCAAGCTGGAGGTGGAAAATGTGGAGCTGGGCTGTTCTCGGTGGCAGCAGATGACAGAACAAGGAGCAACGGGCTCCAGTTGCAGCAAGGGGGGTTAGGTTAGATATTAGGAAAAATATTCTCATGAGGAGGGTGTTGAAGCACTGGACCAAGCTCCCCAGAGAGGTGGTGGAGTCTCCATCCTCGAAGGTGTTGAAGACCTGGCCAGACAAAGCCTTGCCTGGGATGATGTAGTTGGGGCTGGTCCTGCTTGGAGCAGGGGGTCGGACTCGATGTGACCCCCTGAGGTCCCTCCCAACCCTTGTTTTTGATTCTGTGTCATTGCTCAGTGGTCCGGGGCCCGCTGGCAATGCTGAATGGCACAGGTTGTTCCCAATAGGATGGGCTAGCTCAGGTTGTGCCTGCGGGACGGGACAGCTCTTTTCTGACCCCTTTCAGAGGTCTTCTGTGTGGTTGTGAACATTTGTCTGTGCCAAAGGGACTCTGCACATACCCAGAGGAATTGGGTAGATCCCGTGGGAATGAAAAGCAGACGAGTAGTACTTGTGTTTGCCGGTGCCTAAAGGGGAAGCAGGCGCCTTGGGGCGAAGGCATGGGAAGGAGCAGGAACCACAGAAGGATGCCCTGGGGGGCAGCTGGGACTCCCCAAGGGGCAGTGAGCGTCCAAGGGTTACAGGGTTTTTAATTCCCTGCTGTGGGAGGCTGCAGTCTGTGGCAGCCAAATGCAAGCACGAAGATTGCAGGCCACATGTACAGCACGGGGGGGTGGCTCTCTCCTGGGGGCATCTCAGTGAGCCCCTGGACTCTGACCCGGCTCCAATAGTAGGGGGATGAATACAGGGCTGGATGCACCTTGTACAGCCCCGTCAGCCACATCCAAGGGGCAGCTTTGCCCAGCAAGCTCCTGGCTGCAGCTGCTCAGCCCCCACTCCTTTACTGGGAAGCACAAGCCGTGTCGGCCCTCAGCGCCCAAGGCAGGATGGCGTCTACTCACACCAGCGTGGAGCTGGCAGGGGTCTCCTGGGCATCAACTCCAGGCCCTGCTACCGCACGCGAGCACGTCAGAGCATCTGCTCATAAACAGGCCATGCTCCATCTTGAAGTCAGTCGGTTTTCCCCCCACTGCTCCCACAGCTAGGCTCTGCCAGCAGCTGTACCCCTCTCATAGTTAGCACCCCTCGTCTAGTTTCCAGCCTCCATACATCCCCACTTCTTGTGCCGCTGTCCTTTGGATCTAGCATGCTCTGTCCCAGTAGGGAACTGGCCCTGGGCAGCCCAGGACAAGCGAGCAAAGGGTGCCTATGTGAGACTTTTGAGACACTTTTGAGATGGGGCCATCTCACAGCAGGTCGGAAAGTCCTCACCGTCAGTCACATAGTCGTATTCATAAGCAACGCTGGAAATGGTATTAGTGTTTTTCCCTAAACCGGGGCAAGTTAAAGTGCCAATCGGAGTACTTCTCCCAACAATCCCTTTGACGGCCGTTCACCTCTTGGAATAAAGACAGCACAATTGTTGGTCACCGTTGCATTGCTTTATTGAAGGAATGAAAGTATCTGCTTTGGTCCCAAGAAAGCTCGTGCTGGGTCCATTCGCAGAAAAGGTCTTCAGTGAGACTGAGGGAAGACCTTGCCAGGATTTTGCAGATCAGTTTTCACCATTTTCAGTCTAAAAGGAAGAGAGAGAGACCTCACAGTCTTGCTCACAACGTGGAGTCCTGCTAAGAGAAGTTTAGTTCAGTATCTCGCAAGAACCGTCCGAGTCCCCTGTGTGCATGGGGCACTAGACCAGCCACTAGCCAGTGTATGAGCTATAGACCCAAGAGTAGGGAGAGCCAGAGTTAAGGGGCTGTTGGGGCTTTGTGGGATAAGCCCAGCCCAGGGGATCTAGTATCGCCATCTCTAGCCCTTGTTGCTGCTGTTCTGGGAAGATCAGGGCCCTTGGTGTTGTGTACAATGGGCCTCGGTAGTCAGCTAAGATGTGCACAGTGCAAGGATCGACTCAGAAACTGCTCCACGCAGCAAAGGCCAGATGTAGGGAGGAGGCTGTGGGATGAGGGTAGATGTTGGCAGCTTGCAGACCAAAGAGTTGCGGGACCCCAGAGGTGAGCCTGACCTTTATTATGTTGTTCTCAATGCTGCGGAGGGAGGTTGCCAGCCCTCCATGTAAATCAGACTTGCAGCGCTTGATGCTCATCACGACATCCTGCATGCTCGTGATAAAGTCCTCTCTCAAGCTGGCTCCGGCAGTATCTAGGATGAAAGTAGAAATGTGCCTGTATCAGTCTGGAAGGGAAACCCAGATAGAAACAGCCCACTGCATTCAAAAGGCCAAGCTCACTTTGCACACCCCTGGCTTTGCCTTCCGGTATAAGACAGAGAAACATTGCCTAGAAAACAATGCAGTAATGTGAAGCCCTGGATGATTCTCCCCTCCCTGCCTGAGATTTCCCCAAGCCTTTGTGAGCCGCCCTCGCTCTCCTCTTTCCTTAAAGCCATTAGGGATTTTCCCAGTGCTGCTCATCCTTGTGCTATGAGGCAGGACATGAGGATGGGAGGTCGTGGTTCCCTCGTCTAAGGGAAGCAGATGGACTCTGCACTGGAAGTCTCCTTTTGGGGCTGAATTCGGATTTGGACGACATGCAAACCTGGAGTCGACTGCAGATGACCTGGGGCTGAGACTCTGCTAAGCGTGCAGCTCATTCTTATGCCGTGTCCAAGCCCTTGGTCACACATTTGGGTAGAGCCCAATTATGTTAATATATCCTAGATCTCCAAGGTCATTTGCATGATGGTGAAGAGCTCACTTACTGGAGAAACACCAGGTGGCAAGGGCGAGCAGCAGAAGGGCCCCAGATGCCTTCATGGTTGAGTTCGCTGAGGTCCTGATTGCAGCTCTGCCCAGCTCCGCAGTGCAAATCCTCGTCCAGAGATGCCAAACTTATATATGCTCCATATCCCCAGCCTTGTTGCACTTTTATTTATTGCAGGGAAGCATTTGCCAAGACAAGCAGCTGAGAGGCAGGTACACACATTAAGTCAGGTACACGCCATGGGAACAGGGGAGACTCACAAATAAGCAGCATTTCTGTTTGCTATCCCCACCAAGATCCCTGCAGTGCTTGTGGCTGAGCAGGGACCTTGTTTGCAGACTTGAGTGTGTGTTGTGTGTGGCAAGCAAGGCTGTGTACAGCAGGGTAGAGTCACCAATGAATTCCACATTACTTCCAGGCTTTTTCTTTCCTGGGTGAGTTTGTGCCAGGCAGTGCAGTAGTTTGGACTGGACCCTGTGAGCTGCCAGAAGCTAAGCAGAGCTTGCCTGGGCCAACATGCCTGGAATAACCCAGGATGCTACCGACAGCGGTGGTGCGGCTCCCCGTGACCCAGCAGAGAGCTGCTTCCCTTGCACAGTGTTGCACCACAGCGGTGATCACCTGTGGTCATGAGAAAGCAGCTTCACTGTCACGGGACCCCTTTGCCCTTTGCCGTGCTGCAACAGCTCTCCAGCTCCGTGTGCAAATCCAGCAGCGATAGGACTGACCGCAGAAAGGTGCACTTTTCCACAGGCGTTGCGTTGTCCGAGATGCTTTTAACCTTCCCAAAAGCACCCTCCCAATCTGTGAGATGCTGTTTCAGGTCATGTCCAACCCAGCCTGACGTTGCTTTGCACGGTTCCAAGGTCGCCACCATCCACCCCAAAAGCAGCTGCTTTCAGAGGCAGGATCCACGTAGCCCTGTGACATTTTCTGGACAGTTTGCAATGCTTGGATGAACGATGGCAGATAATTAGTAGCAATTAAAACTGGGCCCTTGTGAGGTGACAGCAAACTGCAGTCAAGCCACTGAGGTTTCTCCTCCACCATCACAACCAACTTGTTCCCCAATCCCACAGGCCGCGCTGCTTCCGCGCCTGGCTACAAAGGGCTCCTGAAGCCCTTGTTCAGCTTTGCCATCGCAGTGAAAGGGAGCGTGGAGGGCATTTTCCCCACACCCCTCGGAAAGCACCTGATGTGTCTCTGACACTCAGAGCATCCCCACGGCCCATAATTACAGTTCTGGAGGGTGAAGGGGCTTTGTCCTCGGAAAAGACCAAATTGCATCAAGCAGTACAAAAAGCTAAGCCAGCACCTCATGTCCTTATCCCCCTCAAGGAAATCCCCCAAGAGCCTTCCTGGATCCAGGCACTTCCTTGAAGGAAGGGGGAGCAGAGAAGTGGGGCACAAATCCCTGCAAAATGGGGAAACCAAAACCGCCCCCCCCAATCTCGTGACTGTTGTTAAATGTTTGTGGTCTGTGCCCACACTCGTCCTGCCAAAAGCAAAACGACAGCGTTGCCAGGAGCATACAAAGTACCAGGCAAAGGCTGGACCTCCTTCCAGCCGTCTGGCCTTCCTGGGAGCCTGCAGATTAGTTTCCTTCCACGCTGAACTAAGAAGGGAAGGAGACGGGAGCAAATAGGGTTGAGACGACCGCTGCGGTCAGCATGGAGCACGCTGCCCCCGTGCAGGCAGGTGGAAGGGATCAGAGGTCAAAAAACAATGCTGAAGATGCAGGTTTCACCGCTCTGGTCCCCCAGTTGTCTGCCTGATTGGGGACGATGAACTTTCCACCCCCATGGATCCTACTTCTCATAATCTCTCCTGCTTTGGAGACCTTCTGTGCGTGAAGCCATTCGAGCGCTAAGCTGAACGAGCAGCTCCTGGCATGAGATGGGCTTGTGGTAAAGCGTGGCTGCCACAACTCTCTGCGGACCGGTGAGTCCGTCCAGCAGCAAATCAGTCAAGAAACTGGACCCTATGAACCGCTGTTGGGGGTTGGGCGAGGAAGGGGGCTGCAATGGTTCAGACACATCACGAGGAGGCTGGACAGCCCTGCCAAAGCCATCATGCAGGGCACAGGGGAGGGAAAGAGAAAGGTAGACCCGAGGAGAGCTGGGGACCCATACCAGGGACTGGATGGGGCTTCAACTGACCACGCACAGGGCAGAGCGGAGGAGGGTTGTTACAGCAGCCTCGGGGCTGACTTGACTTGACTTGACTTGACAGGCAATGGCTGAGGGTTGCGTGGCTTACTGGCCAGCGGCTGGAAGGAAACGGTCCAGAAGAGCGGAGCAACCCTGAAGTCAAAGTAGAAAGTGGCAGAAAAGCAATGGAGCTGGGTCAGAGATGCCAGGAGCAGTGCCGTCTCTGAGATCAAAGGGATAAAGGGATATGCCATGTCGTTCTTTGTAACTCAGCCTGATCCAGTAATCGCGGCATTAGCTGTACTGAGCAGCACAGCCCTGCCGACGTCTTGCAAAAAGCAGCTGTCAGGTTTGCTAACACCATCGATAATGGCTAAGGGATGAGTCTCCTGAGAGTTTTAAGCTGGAAGCCGGCCGCAATCAAAGGCAGAGCCTACAACAGGCTGAGCTGTATCGCTGCGGAGAAGTGATTAGGAGGGTGAGACAACTGGATTAGACGGAGAGAAAAATGGACAGCGGGAAGCCTGGTGCTGGTGAATGGGAGGCAGCGCAAGAAGACACGCGGGCCTGTTGCCCAACGCATTTGCCCACGGAAAGTCTGCTTACGCCGGCCCTGCTTGGCGAGCGGCTTCTGTTTCACCTAATCATACTCTTGGCAAAAGAGCACTTCATCGGGCCCCCGACGGCTCTGCTTCGCATCGACAGGCGCCGCGATGCCGACTCCCCGGGTCGGTCACACCGTGCATCTATTAGACCTAAGTAGGCTTCCCTGGAGCAGCGTTGCTGGAGCGGGCCACAGCGAGCAGCTCTCGCTCGCGGTTTGTGAGTCAGGTTTCCGAAGGCTGCTCTTCAGCATGAATCTGCGTCAAATATTGGGAGCTGTCAAAATAGTCAGGCTTAAGGACTACGCCACTGCCTGCGCTGCAGAGGGGGCGGCGTGGTTAAAATGTCTGGGAAAACGAGGCAGGTGGAAGCATGAGCTATTAAACAATCCTATTTGCATAAGCTGCTCAGTGCGATCACTTTAGCAAAATCCGGTGCTCCCCCAGGCACTTTATGGAGAGGGGAAATGCAAGGAGATGGAGTTCGGGGACCTGGTTGAACTGGGAATTGCAACCGGTTCCCTGTTTTAGGAAGACGGGCTTTTTCCCATAGTAAAAATGCTCCTTAGTGCCTGGGCCCTGGCACTTAAAACTGGATGTGATGCTGCAAATAGTGGAAGCCCTTGCCCACGGAGCCGGGCTAGCAGCGGTGAGAGGAGCGGGAACGCTCGGCTCCAGTCTGCTGTCTGCCACGCGCAGGAGCCGACAGTCGCTGTCTCTCTGAGCCTTCGTGGTTGACTTGGATGGAAACTCCTACCCAGCTTCATCCGTACCCCTATTCGGGGTGGCTGTGTCGGCACGCTCTGCCTTACGTGGTACACCCGTGGACCGCAAAGGCCACCGTGCCTGCTTCAGACAAAAGAACAGACAAGGAAGGAACTGCACCATTCATGTTTTATTAGGGGGATCAAGAGCCGGTGGCTGCCATTGTCCTGGAAGCGTCTGCCTGTTTGTGCAGAGAGGATGCCGCAGGAGTCCTCGGAGAAGGAGAGGGGACACGAGCAGTCAGTGCGTCCCAGGCCTCAGGCATCATCTCAAGCCACTTGTTTCCTGCAAAACAGAGGCAGCGAAGAGGAATGATCCAAAAGCCTTGGCAAAATGCTTGACGTCCTCATAGGGGCTTGTCCAATCAGACCAGCTCTCGCCAAGGCGCCCGGGGAAAGCTAGGCAGGGCACCCCATGGCTTTATAATAACGCCC